GAGAGGCTTGATTGCATATTAGCTTTAGCTTCTGCCACTGCTGGGAAGAGCAGATGCGGTGCCAGCGCTGTCGAGTGTTTCCAAGCCTGACAAGTGCTCGCTGTGCCCAGGGTAGCTGGGCAGCTGCTTGCCTGAACGCTGGTGCCCAGGCTGCGGGCAGAGGTGACCTGTGCTCCCAGAGAGCTGCTTTTTCCTGGACCATCCAGGCTTTGGCCTCTGCCACGTCTGCCAGGTGGGCTTGTGGCTGCAGTGTTCGACCGAGGCAGTGCCTGGGGGATGGATGGGCTTGGCAGGAAGCAAAAGCATCAATCACTTTTGAAAGCTCTGGGGAAATATTAAAAAAAGAAAAAAACAACCCAAAAAAAACCCCACCAAAAAACAAGCAAACACACTTTCCGCAGTAGTTCTGAAATAGTGCCTCTGGGTTTTTTTCCTGCTTTCCCTGCTTCAGTCTAGGTTTTGTGGCTGTCTGGAGCTGCTGTGCAGTGACCCAGACCGGGGTGCAATCTGCTGCAGGTGCCCACCGTGCGTGTGCTGAAGCCCTTTGGGCTGGCCACCGCTCCCGGCCGTGTTGCGCGTATCCAGGAGGCCTCGTGTGCCCCTATAGAGTGGGATTTATTGCCCATGCGCTGTGCCGCTGAGCTGCACCTGCTTGCCTGGTCCATCCGATCCTTCTGGGAAATCCCAAGCAGGAATACGGCAGTGCTGGTAACGCTATCCACGCGCGCGCTCCACAGGGATATTTAGCAGTGGTTAGGAAGAGATGAACTGCTTTGTTTTTACATGGTGCTATTTTAATAAGTCAATGCCAAAGGTAATAAATCTGTCCTACATAAAATTAGAGAGTAGTTTACTATATAAACTACTCCTGCGCACTCGGGGGCTGGGAGTAGAGCTGCACACAGCTCCCAGCCAACATAGCCTGCTCATACCTTTTTGTTGGACGACCAAAAAAGGGCCTCTCCTGCTGGTTCTCAAAACGTAGTTGCCGATATTACAACAATGTGAAGACTTACTTTGCTTATTAAATGTTACTGTATGGCTTTGTTGCACCTCTGAGGAGCATCAGCGAGACTTCAAAAATCCCTCACCAAGGAAACACAGGATGTGGCTGGGTCCAGCTTGATGTCTTCTTTCCACATGTGCCTACCAGAGCTGGAAAACTGAAATCAGTGTCTCGAGGGAGGGAATAGAGGAGAAAAATGCAAGTCTGCTATCGTGTGCTGCTTACGCAGGAGGATAGATGGTCAGATGGACAGAGAATGTGCTGCTCCAAAAGCAGCTGAGTTTCTCTTGCCTCTCTGGATCCTGGTTTTACTCTTCAAATCTTTGCACTGTCACACTGGGCAGTAATCAGAATTATATTTTCATGGGATTTTGGTCCTGGATAAAGCTGCCCATCGTCCAAACATGTGAAGGGATGGAGTGGGTGGGAGATGGAGGAAATGCCCTCATCTCCATCTTCTTCTCCTGGCTCTGGGACTTGCTCCATCCTTGCAGACACTGGGGCAGCCACAAGTGATTGTTACTAAGGAAAGGTGCTTCAGAACCACTAACAGCAACAACAGCTAGATGTAAGGATTATGTTATTTTCAAAGTAAGATGGTTCCTAATTCAAATACTCCTCTCAGAATTTTCTGGCTGAAAACTCATTTCATGAAATCCCAGGTGATGGTTGAAGGTTGAGTTGTACCTGGCATGCTTTCAGAGGTGGTGAGAGCAAAGGATCTGCCTGCCTGGAGACAAGTGTGTGCATCAAATCTGGTGCTTCACCTCCTTCTTCCATGGAGAAGGGGAAAAAATTGCCCAAGAGGCTGGGAGCATAGAGGGTTTTATTCATCTGACTGATAATAAGGGCTAAATAAAGGCTTTGGAAAAAACCTCAACCATTTCTCTTGCAATATTGGTTGGGCAGAACTGTACTGGAACTAAACATGGAATGAAAAGTCTGGCTTTTCTGCCAGCTCTATTTTTAGAGCTATTGCTCTGCCTTTGTATCTCTGAGTTTTCTCAGCATATGCACTTGAAGCAGGCAATCTGCCTTTATTTTTTCCGGCAGGCTGTGATATTCTGCAAAATAAGGATGTTGCATGGAGGGGCAGGGGACTCACCAGATTTGACAAAAATCCCTCTGAATACCAGGATGCAGGTGCTGTTCCAGGTTTGGGTTCATTGCGGTCACAGACTCCTGAATATTTTCTGTGTTCCATGTAGGAGCGACCCTAGCCCTTACGTGCTGGAGGGGAGTGGGTGTGCAATATTGGCTGGTTTCTTTGTGTCCCAAAATTGTGGTCACAACTGGAATAAAATTTGGTAGCAGTCTAATAGCGTGCAGCAGCGCTGGTGATGGGTTTGGGTATGGAGCAGAGGAATCATCTTTGGCTTTTAGAGTGGGAGCAGGACAGGAATATCTGAACTGGGCTTCAGCTGAGATGCTATGGCTGATCCAGCAATATCCAGCAAGAACCCAGAGGTTTTTGTTCTTTCCTGTGAAAAGCAGCAATAAAAGATAAAAAGTTAGTGTGCTAACCCTGTTCTTGGATATTTAACTCTGCCAGTGAGGATGGGACTGGCCTTTCAGAGAGCTCCCAGCAAGCATGGACACAGTTCTCCCCAGTGCCCACTGTGTGTACGTGCATAAACCCCCATCTCCCATGACTTAAATCATACTGAAACAAGCTACACCATCTTCGTCCAGCTAGAGAGGGAAGCTTGGGGGTCATGAGCCTGCACGCTGCCCAGCGCTGCCACTCCCCTGTCCCAGGAGCACTTACACCAGGGCTTGCAACCAGCAGCCCTAGTTCTTTTTTTGGCTGTTGTTTTCACTTTGTAAAGCATTGAGCTAGGCTTGGTTTTGCATGAAGTTTCAGTGTTTGTGCAAAAATAGACCTTCACCATGCACTGATTTGACTGGATCATGACCCATACTCTCCAGAGGCAGGGGACTTCTGAGAGCTGGAAGCATGCAAGGAGTTTGGACTCGAGGACATTTAATTAGGAACATTTCTTTCCAGCATGAAGCTGGACAGTGAGGAGGACCCCCCAGAAACTCCATGGGATTTACTGACTATAAACTCATAGCTGGCTTTGAAAAAAGATAAATGCAGAAGATAAGGATATGCCTCGCATTTCTAACTATGTTTGTGGTTGCTGTTCGTTTGGAGCAGAGCCTCTCCCGGTGCCTGAGACTAGAACACATCCAGGTACACTGGAGCCACAGTTAATTGTGTCCAGCTAAACGCTGTGCAAGATTCCAGCAGGAACATTTATTTATTCCCTGTAGAATAAAGCCGAAGGAGGATTTACAGTGGAGGGAAGGTGTAACTTCACTGGCTGGTACTCAGCCATGTTCCTGTGCCAAGAGGCAGATGTTAAGCTGTGAGAACTGGTCCTGCAGAGAAAGCAGCTGCCTGAGCTGCCTCTTGGGCTTCACTAACAAATAACAGCTCCGCTGAGAGGGTAAACAGGCAGAAAATGCTGCTCCTTCAGAAAAGCTTAGTCTCATATGCCTTGACAACCATAGGGTACAGAGGGGAATTAAGGCAGCATTTAGGTCTGTTTTTCCTCAGTTTTTAGCAGCTTGAAAAGGATGCCTGTTTCCTCCTTGCTTGGGCTTGCAAATCTTTTGGCAGTGGGGAACCACGTTGGGTGACCACTTTGATTTCTTCATTCTGGATGGCACCAGTCCTTACCAGTGCAAACCCTGAGAGTGGTAACAAATCCCACTCTCCTGCTGGTTCACAGCTGGAGAACGGCCTCTGACCTGCTCTGCATCAGTATCCCGCACATTTCCAGCTGGATCTAGTTCACCTTGAGCATCTCTCTCGATCCCCCTTAGCCTCCACCCAGGTATAAGTTCAGGTGCCACTAGCCTTGATTGTCAGGACTATTTTGGAGGCATGTTATTATTAATACTCCCCCTCTGGCTCAACGACATGTGTGGCTGGGGCAGGGCTGAGGTGCAGGCTGGTGTTCTGGCCCTCCTGAAGTTGGTTATGGCTGGGGCAGGCGGGCCAAGACAGGCACAGAGCCATCCTTTTCCCCCCCTGTAGAAGTGTCCCTCTGGGTACCTGTTAGTTTTTGGGGGATATATGCTTGTACAGAACCAGCTTTGTATGAGGAGGGACTCCTGAGCTATAAATCTCTGCTTTTCAAGCACTAAACTCCCTTTTGGGTTGTTTTTGACGTTAGGAATTTTCTCTGATAAGAGAACTTTATTTGCCTTTAAATATCACTTTGTGACAGGATGATGGAGTGGGGATTCTTGGAGTGAGTCCGTGCCAGCCGGGGAAGGGAAATTCTGCTGGGGCTTTTGTTTCTCTCTAGCACTGACATTTTAGCTCTTTAAAAGAGTACGTTTAGTTTATTCTTGGCAAGGGTGTGTGTGCACACGTCAGTGTCCAGACAAATGGGAGCAGCCCAGCGTTAGGGCTGTGCTGAAGCCAAGTGGGTCTCCTGCTCTCCCCTCCCTGCGGCACCTGGGGAAGAGGAGCTGTGCTGGGGCTCAAAACGCCGGTCACACGGGTGAAGCAGGGCTGTCATGTAGAGAGCTTTTAAAAAAAAAAAACCCAAAACAACCCAAAAAAGTATTTTGTGATATTGCGTGCAAGGTGCAGTCGGATGTTTCTAGGCTGGCAGTCCAGGGTGTTATCTGTTACCCCAGAACGGCTTCATAGCTGGTTTAGAGTGCTGCCTGCTCAGGTCAAGGCTAAGTCTAAGGTGTCGCTCAGCATAACCTGCCCAGTACAGCCTGTAGCCACAAAGTCTGTGTTTTGTTTGCATTCAGACCGGTGGGAGCTGAGCTCCCTAATCTGGCTCTCTCCAGCAGCCATGTCGTATCACGATCCTTTTAGATACGGAGGATTTTGCTCCGCAGGCTGCTTGTGAGCAGCAGGATCTGCAGAGTGCCAGCTCATTTATTCAGCTTGGATCCCACTAAGCTCTCCCTGGTTTTCATGATGCCTCGAGCAGCCAACTAACTCTGTGTTCCTTTCTTTCAGCTCTTCCACGTGGCATATGTCCTGATCAAATTTGCCAATTCCCCTCGTCCTGACCTCTGGGTGCTGGAGCGATCTACTGACTTTGGCCTTACCTACGAGCCCTGGCAGTATTTTGCCTGTAAGTATGCCAGTGTTACAAGAGAGCAATGCCAGGTAGCGAGGCCGCAGCGAAGACAGCTCTTTGTGCAAGTACGAGGCTGGGTTTGGAGTTGTTTCTGTGTCGTTGCTGCGATGCAGTACATGTCTTCTGTTTCTTCTGCCCAATAAGGCTGCAAGAGTTGAAGCTTAGATCAGAGCAGCTTGGTGAAGTTGTGGTGCTCCTTAAGGCAGGAGAACTTCTTTTCTCGCTGGGACTAAATGTATTTTTTAATACATTGTCATTGGTGCTCACCCAAAACTACATAGATGTCGAAGTTGGCACTAGTGTCAATAGTTGGGCATTGCTGATCTAGGTCTGGAACATGAGATGTCTTATTGTCTCCTCCCTCCCTCCCCTCTCTGTCTGCCCTGTACTGTATCCAGACTGGCATATTTTAGCTCCTCCAGAAGCTAACTCCAGTCAGTCCAGCTCACTTCCAAGTGGCTGCTGTGACAGAAAAGTCTGGAGGCAGAAAACAGTCCCCTTGCACTTAGCGGTACCAGAGGTTGGATACAGCCTCTGCAGGGCAGGGAACCGCTGTCCTGCCTCTGTGCAAGGTGGGATCAGGGACAGCCGGCTGGGAAGGGTGGCTGCAGAGATCCAGTCTGTGCATTTGACTTCCCTATTCTCTGATTAAAACCCTTTAGAAACAGCTGGTTCTACAGATCTCTTCTCCCAAAGGGTCTGTGGGGTAGCCGGATACTGAGGAACTTGTTAACCACCGGCCCCTCCCAGAAGCAGCAGCAGTAATTGGGAGAAGATGTGAATTAAGATCTACAGCCAGAACTTAAAACCTGGCAAGGAAGAAGGACCTTGGAGCACTCAGAGGCTTTGCCCTGGGCTGCCCCTAAAGACTCATATTTCTGGCTGACTGGTCAGCCCACGCTTTAGCTTTGCTGGCCTTTTCTTGTGCAGGAAAGAGCTGCAGCCATGTTGCCTGCTGTGTTGCCTTGGTGTGGTAGTTTCTCTCCAGTGTGGATGTTTTCCCCTCTGCTGTATGCTGGTGGGGAATTACTGCTGTCAAATTGCCTGCTTTGCTTTTGTCTGTCTTCTCTGAGAATTTCCCTTCCAGCTCTGAAGCCTCTCCTGGAGCCTGTTACGGTCACGTTATTGTATGGTCTGGGGTTGAGCTGGGAGCTCGTGCCGCGCTTGCTTGTTCCTGCAAGTGGTGGCAATGCTGTAATGTCTGAGTCCTCTTCCCTCCCGCAACATCAGTGCGTGTTACCGCTCCCCTCGAGAAGTGACATGCAAGTGACACAGCCCAGTGGAAAATTCCCATGGAAATAAAGAGGTGGCTGCTACAAAACCTGCCAGATTCGCTAGCACAAGAAGTCCTTTGCGGAGATTTATTTTTGGCGTGGGGAATTCTGTAGGTGGTCTAATAAAAACAGTGGTCAGTTCAGCAAGAGGGTTAAAAGCAGCCTGCAGAAATGTAAGCGTTCTCCAGAGACACCAGCGAGCCTTGCCGTGGGTGACACCATCCCCCTGGCTCAGCGCTGCGCCTCGAGCTCTGCTCATTGTGGGAAGTGTTCAGTTCCCCGGGCTGCCCTGTGCCCCCCAGCCAGGCTGCTAAAGTGCTTTCGGGCTTAGCTTTGCGGGAGGAGGGAAGAAATGACTGTCGTGGAAAGCATCTGTGGGTGCAGCTGATGGGCTCTCTCAGGGAGGGGGGCTGGAGGGACCGTGGCAATGCGAATCCTCCGTGCATCACGGCGGGGAGGCGCCGTGCTTTCCTCGGCCACCAAAGGAGAAACAGGAGCGCTGGGGAGAGATTTATGGTGGTCTTTATCCGCGTGAAGGGTTCCCCACATAGCGTTTCAAATAGGGACAGGACATGAAAGACGCCCAGTCCCAGCTGTCCATCCAGGCCCTCAGAGCCTTGCCTGCCCCAGCTCATCGTGTGGTGCAGGACCAGGGTGCAGGATTAGCCCATTCCGTCTCGCTTTGCTGGGCAGTGCCACCGCAGAGGGGAAGGCAGCTATAGCGCAGAGCAAGGCTCTGTCCTTTTCTCCTCTGAGGGTAGGCTTCTCCAGTCTGCTGCTTCCTTAAAGTACTGCTGGGGTTTAAGGCTGATGGGTTACTCTTGTTTTATCTCAGAGACAGAGTGCCCAGCTTCTGACTCACACTGTTGCGTAGATTGGCAATAACTGGAGGAATTTTTTGGTTTTCCTGAGACACTGATCTTGCTGAGCATCCTGTCTCCATGCCCAGCTGTGACAGTGCTCTGGAAATCAGTCATCTCAAGCCAGTGGTGATAGGCTCCATGCCTGGGGCTCCAGAATAAATTGCCTTTAAAAAAGCACCTGGTGAAGCACAGCTTGCGGCCAGAGACCTGATGTTAATGTTTCCATACCGTCTTCCTGTGGATGCAACTGAGCTTCTGCTGTTGCCAAAACAGTGTTTCATGGAGTGATGCCACGTTGCTGGAGATGAGGTGTGGGCGGGTGCAAAGCAGAGGTGAAGGCAGGGGAGGCAGAACCTCTCTGTGCTCCCCCCTTCCCATTCCTCCTGCCTGGCTTAGTTTACCAGTGCAGCACATGGCGTGGGGGACATGCCTTCTGGAGGCACATTGCAACAGATTTTGGAGGATTATTCCCATGAATTAGGCTAGCGTTTCCCCATCAGCTCCCTGTGTGGGCTGAGCAGCGCTGGCAGGAGCTGCAGTTCGTGCTGGCTGCCTTTTACTCCCTCTTGTCTCTGTGGAAACACCCTCAGGAGCGCTGCAGCGATGTGTGCTTGTGTGCTTCGGCACACGCTGCTGAGAGCTCCTGGCGCAGGTGGGAAGGAGCAGCAGCCTTTGTCCCCAGCTCTTCCCTGGGGGAACAGCCCGAGAGCAGCACTGTGTAGGTTTTTGCGTGGGTAGATGTCGGTGCTCACCACCCTGCACAATCAGGTCCTGAACCTCCCCCAGCGCGTTCAGTGGGGTTTGGTTGGCTCTGTCAGCACAGGGATGTCAGACGTCCTGGGGACGAGGGCGCTGGACTTGCAGGAACGGCTGTGCGGGGAAGCCAGAGGAGACTCTTGGGATGCAGTATCCCCAAAGCAGGTTGCAGGGCCAGCAGCGTGACTGCCTGGCCATGCCTGTCCCCTGGCTTTAGCCAGCCTTGCATTGCCACTTAGTGGCAGCAGCCCTCACTTGCTGTCCCCAAGGGGCAGTTCTGGGTGGCTTCAGCATTTCTGTTTTGTAGTGTTGGTTTATGAGTGATTGCAGAATTCAGAGTAAGGTGGGAGATGATGTCCTGCAGGCAGTCACTCTGCTTCTCCCAAATACCACAAGCCCTCTTCCTACACCTGGGTGTCCACCCTGCCTGGTGGGAGATGCTGCAGCAGTGGCTGTGGCTTGTGGTTGCTCCCGTAGCACGGCTTTGTGCTGGTTTGCTTTGCAGGACTTACGTAAGAGTTTAAAGAGCGACTTGAACATGATGGTACAAGCTCCTGCATCGGGAGCAGAGCTCTAGCAGCGAACAGCCCTTCCACAGTTCAGCACAAGCGATGTAGCAAATCCAGTGCCAGCAAGGCAACAAATTCAGACCAGGGTTAGAGCTCAGGCTGGATAAGCTGAGAGCTTAATGCCAAAATTGAGATGGGTTACTCTACGGGTGGTCACAGTAGGTACAATGGCCATGCTCACCTTCCATCTCTGAATTAATTCACTACAGTGAGGTGATTTGAGGGATTTTCTGACCATGCCTATTACTCTTACAGTGACTCCCTCCCTTGGTGGAGTACCTGTGTGTTAGCAATGACGGTTAACGATACAAAGCAATCTATATGTAGTAAATGCTTAACAAAGAGTATACATCCTTCCCTTGTGTTGGTCAGCATGGGAAAATCAATACAAGGCTCTGAATTGTTCCTCTTCTCTTACTACTCTCATCTCTGGTGGATGAACAGCTTCCAAGAGGGACTGCATTGAGAAGTTCGGACTGCAAACCGTGGATCGTATCACCAAGGATGACCATGCCATCTGCACTACTGAATACTCCCGTATTGTGCCTTTAGAAAATGGGGAGGTGAGCAGTTGCACGTTTTCATCCCCTGTGGTTTCTCAGTCTCTGTAGGTACTCTTACTAATTGGTTCCCTCTTGACTTGTGGATGCCACTTAAACTACCAGTTAAACCAAATGAGACTGGCAGGGAACTGATTCAGTTGTCTTGAAGGGAGGTAAAGATTGGGTTTGGCTGAGGGAGGGATTAATTTCCTCCCATCTCAGAGGATTACACAGATTTGTTTTCCCTCCTTGTGTTCACAGATTGTTGTCTCTCTGGTAAATGGGCGCCCGGGAGCCATGAACTTCTCCTACTCTCCTCTTCTGCGGAATTTCACAAAAGCCACCAACATCAGACTGCGCTTCCTGCAGACAAACACTCTGCTCGGGCACCTGATGGGCAAAGCTTTAAGGGACCCTACGGTGACAAGGAGGGTAAGGGCAGGCCTGGATACCTCTTGCTAATGAGATGGAGGTGTTTGAGGGCTATGTGTGCCACCTCTGGCGAGAAGACATCCTTGGATGTTGCCCATGGGGATTTCCTCTTTCTGCACTTGTGCTTCCCAAGCTGAAGGCGTCTGCAGCAGATGCCGCCACTGGAGCTGGAGGCTGATTTGGGAAGAACCGAGCTTAGCACCAACAATGCGAAACTAGGAAACACCACTTGGTGTCTCACATGGCTTTCTGGCTGTGCTGAGAGACCCGGCTTGTAGCTAATGGGCTCTGTTAGTGGTGGCAGGTCTTACCGTAGGCAGATGTTGCAGCCTACAAGGTGCAGCTTGTCACTGTAAGGGAAATAGCCCAACACATCACTTTACTGCATAAAGTCCTGCT